CTTTCCCCACAGTTTCTCTCCTCTTCTCCACAGCCTTATCAGCTAGGGTGTTGCTTCTTTGGGGAATATCAGTCCAGGTGCGCTGTGGTGGCAACCCACAGTGGAAAACTTCTAGAAGCAACTGCCTTGAGGTGGTGACTCTCAACTCATCTCTCATGACCCTCACCTTTACCTGAAGTTGGTAGGAATTAGTAGGGGTGAGGGTCTTGCTGCCCTTGGCAGGACAGAGGAGAAATCCTCACACTCCAAAAATGGTTTGCAGGTTAGAGGTTGGCCAGCTCTGCCTATAAAGGCCTGGGAAAGAGCTTCTCCCATAAGAACCTGAATCTTAGAAGCCTTGTTGTAGGTGCCAAATGAAGTGAGGTAGGCAGCTGCTGTGGAGAGAGCTTTCTCAGGATGGACATAGCAGTTATAAAATAACATTCCCAGAAGGGGTCACCTGGTGCTACCTTTATGCACTTTTTGATGCCCGGGAAAGACTGTTCATCACCAGAGCCTCTTAAAAACTGTTTAGGCTCTCACAAGTGTAAGCGTAGTTTTAATGTGTGCGGCTAATTGTTACGCTGTTTTTGTATGGAGGAAAATCTTATTATTTGGTGAATTATCATTTCCCAATTACGGTATCTAGCATTTTTGACATTGTACTTTATCTTGATCTGTAAGTGACTCAGAGAGTATTAGTTTATGGTGGCTACATAAATGTAATAAATCAAGGCAATTCTACTATACTGCGATCTTTGCCTCTATGTGATTAAATTTTATGAATGCTAATAACTGAGTCATTTGTTATTCACCCTGGGGTGGTTTTTTTAAATGAACATGTGCCGAATGCTAATTGACTTTGTTTTGCAGACTATCCTTCCTGCTGCTGCTCAAGATGTGTATTACAGAGATGAAATCGGCAATATATCTACCAGTCACCTTCTGATCCTGGATGACTCAGTGGAAATGGAGATTCGCCCTCGTTTTCCACTGTTTGGTGGTTGGAAGACACATTATATCATTGGTTATAACCTACCAAGCTATGAATACCTCTTTAATCTTGGTAGGTCTCCTTGTTGGAATATTATTTTTAATGCTTATCTTTTATTTTTCCTCTTGCAAGGTCCTCCTCTTCTTTACATCTTCACATGTGAAATAAGCTATGTTGAGAGTCAGTGACTGGCTCAAAGTCACCCAGTACACTTGCTGATTAAAGTCTCCCAATAAGCTACCTGGGGACTAGAATCTGAATTGCCCAAGTTCCAGTCCAGTACTCCAACCACTGTGCACCCGGCTCTCTACCTGAAAGGTGTACAACCTTAGTATAAGGCTGTGCATCTGTACAGAGGGACATAGTTTGGATTCCCCCCAAATCTTAGTTTTGATTATTTAGATAAATTACCTGCTGTTCTGTCTAAAAGGTGTATCTCAAGTTTTATGTAAGTCGTTGAAGAAGGGCCTGAAAGGTATCTTGCAGGATTATGAACTTCCTCAGGGACTTCAGATATATTCCTTCTATCCCTCCAGCTCCGCTCCCCTTGCATCCTGTTCCATCACTTCCTCTGCTGCCATTCCATTCTTTCTCAGAATGTACAAAATGAGACATAGTGCATCCAAAATGAATGTCTTTTGCGGGGTGGTAGTGTGTTAGTTTTGCATTTTGTGTAGCTTATATTAGGTGCAACATTTTAATATTTCATTATAATTGTGTGGACATCTTCTAACTTGCCTTTCCTGTTTCACTGCTGTACTTTGCTTATCAAAACCCATTCCAGTGGAACGTCAAATCTTCTCTTGGGTGCATCCTTTACCTAACTTGGCCTCTGTTGCTGAGATAGAGAAAAGTTCATGGTTGCCTATTGTCACTGTTTCCCAGGTGATCAGTATGCCTTGAAGATGAGGTTTGTTGACCATGTCTTTGATGAGCAAGTTATAGATTCACTAACTGTGAAAATGATCCTTCCAGAAGGTGCCAAGTAAGTAACAATATGATTGGGAGACTTAATCCAGATTTGTGTGTGTTCTGAGCTGTCAGTCATAAAACATAACTGCTTTATGTCTGTAAGATTTTATGGAAATCAGATGTTCTTGGGTTGCAACATGGTGTGCTTTTTTCTGTTCCTTTCAAGCCCTGTGTTGCATACTGCCCATCCTTCTCTTTCTCACTGTATGTATAGTAGCTAAGGCCTCTGAGGGGAACATTAATATTCTTGAATGCAACTCTCTGCAGGAATATCCATGTGGACAGTCCATATGAAATCAGCCGGGCTCCCGATGAGCTTCACTACACCTATTTGGACACATTTGGCCGCCCAGTTATTGTAGCACATAAGAACAACTTAGTAGAGCAGCACATCCAGGATATTGTGGTAAATATCATCCTGTTGCTTGGCTAGCATAAAGCATAAGAAGCACTGCTTCCAGCTTTGCAGCCCGGATTGCTCTGTGGTAGTAATACATTAAATGCCGTATGAATGGCTACTGCAATAGGAACAGGCCATGCTTCTGTTGAAGCCAGTAAAACAATTGAGCTTCACTTCTGCTTAGACCTGGCTGGGGTAGACCTGCAAGAAGTTTACTTTTGTATTGAACAATGTAAATTATGTAGAGCATCTTCAGTAATAATGATTCTCCCTGTGTCTCATTATTTACCTTCTCCTTTTAGGTGCACTATACCTTTAACAAGGTCCTGATGTTGCAGGAACCTCTGCTAGTAGTTGGGGCCTTCTACATCCTATTCTTTACTGTGATCCTTTATGTGAGGCTGGACTTCTCCATCACTAAGGTACTACAATACAGGTTGGAGAGAGAGGATATGGTAGAGGGGTTGATCTTACCATTTTCCCTGTGATTGCTCTTGTCTGGGTTTTGAATAGCCTTGCACTGGTGGTTTTTGAATACTAGATTTGTTTCTTTTTTATGTGGTACTTCAAATGTTTTTGTAAAACATAAATCACCTTGGCAGAGCAGGCTGCTACACTATATATGTGATGTTCTAAGAATATTTAATAGTTTCTTGCTATAGAGACAAATATATATTAACAATTTTTGAATAAAATTGAATTGACTTTCCACCTTGAGCTGCAGTCTAGTCTGTGGTGGTGATTTTTAACGGAGCTTTCAGTATGTTTCTGTATTGACTTTGGCTAGGCTGGATCAATGGATATCTATTCTTGAATAGGGCAAGTGGGATTCCCATCTGCTCCTAATTTTGCTACTTTGTTTCTGGAAATTCATTTGGAAAGTTGTCCATTCGGGGGTGATGCTGGTGTGCTACTTAAGACAGCCTAGTGGGAAAAGAGCTGAGCTGGGAACAATGAACGGTTACAAGGACTTCTGAGAGAAGATGTGAAGGACTTTGAATACTTAGCATGTAGTAAATAAATGCACCATAATATATCGAGCCTTTGCTCAATGCAAGTCTTATGTTCTTGCAGGATCCAGCAGCAGAAGCTAGGATGAAAGTTGCCTGCATTACAGAGCAAGTTCTCACTGGAGTGAATAAGCGACTGTGTCTGTACCGCCTTTTTGATGAAGCTGTGAATAAGTACAAGCAGTCGCGGGATATTTCTACCCTGAATAGTGGCAAAAAATCTCTGGAGACTGAACATAAAGCCTTAACCAGTGAAATAGCCTCGCTGCAATCCAAACTGAAGGCCGAAGGCTCTGATCTGTGTGATAAAGTAAGAATCTGTTACTTGCCTTAATTGGTGCTTCTATTTGGTTTGAACTCCTCTGCTTTCAGATTATAACTCTATCCTTTACCATTCTAAAGACAACTTTCATTTTGAAACATGCAAGAAACAATATTGGATGCATTTTTTAAATCCTCTGATAGTTAGGGTCAACTGACAATGCTGGAACACTATAGAAAAATTATGTGTAAGTCTTCCACATCTCCACGTTCCATGTATTTCCCAACCACAATGAAGCTTGTATAGCCTTGTGGTTCCAGGATCTACCATTCCTGAATCTGGTGAAAAATTGAGCTTATTTTCATTACTTTTCAGATCAATTGGAATAATGAGAGAATGAAAATCTGTGCAATGAAAGTGCTAGGTGTTGACATTACAGTACAAAATGCTGTTGAAGTATTTAGTGAGTCTTCATTTCTATAGAATGCATAAACTGAAAACTGATTTTTCCAGTTCCTGTGAGAAATGACCATATTGCTGAAAACAATACACTCTCTGTTTTCTTAATAACATTTAAATGGTTTTAGACAACAGTAATACCTTTCATGTTTCCAGAACTGATTTACCTGAATAGAAAAGCCTTATTTTCATCTAGAACCTTCCTTATAACCCAGCAAACCTTTTAGATATATATTATCATGCCTGTTTGCAGAGTTTCTGTCTCTTACTTGTAAGACTCTCCCACAATGCTTTGTTCTTTATGCTGACGTATGATAACATAGCTATCCTGTTGGGTAGGACACTTTGGCCTGGATTCACATTCTGCCAAGCGCTTCTCTCAGTGAGAAGATAAGAAGGCAGCAGTCTTGGCCTTGTAGTGCTGTATGGGGAGCACATCAGTCCCCTCTTTTGGTCTTTTTGCTATCATTTGTCTAGTGCGGCCACTACTTTGAAATTAAATATTTGCCATAAGTTGTTTCTTGCCATTAGCAAATGAAGCTGATTAGGCATCTTGTTCTACTGATTTGAAGCTGGTCTGGTACCCTGACATGGCAGGTGGCATCTCTTATGCTTTGAAAGGGGACCTTCCCCTGCCCCCAGGGCATTCTTTGGATCTTCCTGGGTGTCCTCTTGAACAATGATGTCTTGAAAGAGGCCGGACTACTGAAGAAGCTGGTCACTTCTGCCAGTATAATGAAGCTTAATTTGTAACTGGAGAGCTGTTAATGAGTTCTGTTCTTTAATGTGCTGTTCCATTTAGTTTTCCTGGCAAGGTCTCTTAATGGGTAGCGTGAGGCCTGAGCTATGTGGCTGGGTACCAGCACCGTAGCTGTTGAATTCCTCCACTGCTGCTTTGGGCCTCAAAAACAAAACGGGAATGGTGTACAGCATAACAATCCACCTCTGACATGGTTCTAGACGGTATAACTGATGATGCCTTTGTTTGTTTAATTTATATCCTGACTTTTTTTCTTGCAAAGAACTCAGGGTGGCATACATAATCCTCCTCCTATTACTCCCGGTCTTACCCTCATAACAACAGTCCTGTGAGGGCTGAGAGTCTGAAGTCACCCATTTGACTCTGTGGCTGAGTGGGGACTAGAACCCAGATCTCTCGAGTCCAAGTCCTGCCCTCTTAACCGTTATACCACACTCTGTTGCAGCAAGTGTTTATATTCAGACCTGTTCACTAGTATTGTTATAGATGCGTGTAGCTTCTGATTTCAGTCTAATTTGGTTCCACTCTGAGCAGGACTAACACTGGATGCTACTTTAGTACATTTTGGTTTTGTCATTGTACAGTTAGGAATGTTAGGATACTGTTGGCAACTTCAGGCAAATTTTCTGCTGCCCAGAGAGGGACCCTCAAGAGGCTCATTCATTCCAAGGAATGGTCTTCATTGTAATTCACTTGCTGTGCTCTACTTTTTAAAATCAATATTGTTTATAAGCTTCAGTTCTCTTAATTTGTCCTGTGTTTCTTCAAGGTCAGTGAAATTCAGAAACTTGATAGCCAAGTCAAGGAGCTGGTTCTGAAATCATCTGTGGAGGCAGAGCGGCTGGTTGTTGGCAAACTCAAGAAGGATACGTACATAGAGAACGAGAAGACCAATTCTAACAAGCGTCAGGAGCTGATCGGCAAAATCGACAACATTCTTGATGCACTATAAGTGAAAAGTGAAAAGCTCGGGGTGGGTTGGGAACAGGTACAAGTCAGTTGTATGGGCATGCTGAGCCACACTAAGTTGGAAAGTGGGAGTTGGAGAAATAGAACTGCCCTTCATAATTGGGTCAAGGGAGAATTCATTTTGGAAACTATCTTCAAAATTGTGGTTTTAATTATTTTAGAGCCTGTTTGCTCTACTAGCTAGAAGAGGTGTGTGTATAACATGTCCCAGATTTACTATGACCATGGTTCTTCCATAAAACTCAGATCGCTAGTAACAAGACTTCAGAGGTTCCCTGGTTAGCAGTAGGGATGCATGGATACAGGCCTCTGCTGGCACTGAATGTCTCAATGGGAGAGAAGAAATACAATTGATTTGTTCAAAGGTTTGGTGGCAAAGCTTTCCACCTTCTGTACTGCACCTTTGAATTCATACTTCTGTATTTTATACTTCTGTACGGGGCTCTGCATAAATAACTTGAACAAAGTGTTTTTTTTTACTATTTGTTGCACAAAATAAGATTCTTACACCTGAACTTTTTGAGACTCAAAATGACAGCATCAGCTAGAGCCTGGTGGAAGCAAAAAGGGTGGATGAGGTTCATTTGCTTATAAACCTATACATTTCCTCAGATGGCTTGTTCCTTTTTGTTGTTCCTGTTTCATAGGAAATACCAAACTGAAATAAAGGCTTGTGGATGTTCTGTTTTTAGTATTTAATTTCTTACCAGAGTGCCTTAAGCTGTTTGGATTTCTGAATTAAGCACTACATTAGGTTTGGTTGGCAGTCATTTTATCTCATGCTACCACTTATTAAGGATTACTAATCCATAAATTGTTGCAGAGTTTTTGCTGGTTGCAGTTGATAACATACAAAACTGTTGCGCTTGTTAAATAATCAGTTTTCTTAGGATGCATGGATAAAGTTTAGGTGAAGTGTAAGTCCCCTTTGGCCTGTTCAGAGGTATCCAGAATGTGATTCTGCATTGCTGTTTGAATGTTAATCCATCTCTGTAGGATTACAACATTTTTTTAAAAAGTGTAGAACCTGATTCAGTAGCATTGCTCACCAAATTGATAAGATTGGCTCTAGAAATAAACTTAATTTTGCAGTCTTAATTAAAAGTTGTACTGGAATTAAGAAAACCAGTCTAGCTTTCACATAGCAGCCCCATTGTTTCTGTTACTAGTCTGAATAGCTCCCATTACTTTCTACTGTTACTTACAAAAGGAGATATTTCTAATGCCAGTGCAGAGCTTATCCACAAAGCTACCAGTCATTTCAGAAGCATGCATAAAGCAGTGATGCTCAGATTCTGGACTAGTGTATTATAATGTGTCCTGTAATTGCTGTTTGTGCAAATTTTTGTATGCCCCTCAAAATAGTTTCTCTTGCTGCCACCAAAATACAGCTCAGCAGCTCCTCCCAGCCACAGAGACGTTAAAGAAATTTGAGCTTTGGCTTCCCCTGGATCTGAGAGCTGTGAATGATATCGCTGGCACAAATTTTTGTTCCAGTGCTCAAAGAAAAGCATATTAATTCCACCAGCACCCTTATATAACTTAGCATACCTCTTAATTCCTGTAATGTTTACTGTTTAGGGTAAAAGAACTGGGCTTCCAGGTAAGTCAGCCCTGGTCCCTCTGTGGATACTCAGCAATGGGATATCCAGATCATTCTCGAACTCCACATTGTAGCCCTTTGGAGGAAAATTCCAATTGAAGGTGCAGTTAGGAAGAATAAGGGTTAGTAATGCATGACTGGAGCATCTTCCTCTGCTTGGAATCCCTCTCCATGTCCATGCAGGACCTCCTCACTTGTGGTGCCACTGCCTAGGGGAGCAAAGCGTGATACAGGGAAGCAGATATAACAGTAGTCTAAGTTTCAAAGCAGCTAAAATAAGATTGCAGCCATTTGCAAACAACTGCAGGAATGCATGCGGAGCCAGAAATGAATTCCACCAGGAGGAGGGGAGAAATTTTCCTATAACTTTCCTGTGTCCTGGATATGAGAGAGGAAAAGAAGGGCAGCAAGAGGCATTCAGGTTGCTGGATGCAGGATCAAGGCTTGGTGCTTGTTACAAAAAGTTGCATGTAGCTTGGTAACTGTACCAGGCAGGGGATGGTCTTACTTTTCTACCAACCTACACACATTCTTCTTGGTTTCGCCAAGTCAATCTCACTTTCCTTGCTCAGGCTCCTTCTGTGTCACAAGTTCACACCCATCACATCCCTCTTAAAAGTGGACAGGCCTGGTTTTCATCTCCACTTTCTTGAAGGAGTACTTCTGGTTGGTCCTCTTATCAATCAGAATGTACCATGTCCCCCAGTAGATGCCATTGGTCACACCACTGTAGCGTCCATGGTGGTACTTCCCATTCAGGTTGGCTGCCAGGCAAGAGTCAAACCACCAGCCTGCCCCATAGTATGCACCACAGTTGCCCAGGGGGTAGTTGTCATTGTCACTGTCCCAGGTTGTGAAGCATTTGTGATCGTGGTTGTAGTTGCGGCTGTAGCTTAGGGCATTGCCTGCACTGCCTTGATACTCGCGGGCAGTCAGGCGATACAGATGGGCCTCACTGGCCACTTTGAATTTGCGGTAGATGGCATGTCGCTTGACACCATGCCAGTCCTCCAGCTCGATACGCAGGACATGCTGACCAACGCGAGTTAAGAGGTGGAGGTACTCATTGCCCAGCCAGTGCTCACCTTGCAGACTTCCAAATCCCTGCCTGTATTCCTGCCAGGTTCGGTTGAAGTCCACAGTACCATCCTGCCGGCGTTGGATCATGGTCCATCCACCACCATCTGCCACCATGTCACAATATGCCTGGCAATGCAGAACATGAGGGTCATCAAGGGACAGAAGCCCCCAGCCTTGCCTTCCTGAACATGGTGCATTCCAGAAGTTTGGGATTTCAGTTTCATCCCTAGCAACATGATGAGGGATGATGGGAGCTGTAATTCAAAATGTCTGGTAGATACTAGGTTGGAGAAGGCTGCTCTCTCAGCCTCCAAAAGAAAACCCTTTCTCTGATTTCTCCACTCCATGGTAACATATCCTGGGCTGGAGGTGGTGCTTCCTCCTGTCAGTGCTGATCCTGAAGGCATTTTCTTTCTAGGCACATCAGTACATACTTAAATAGGTCCCTGCTCTCAGGAGCCCTGCAACTCTTGTAAAGAGGGGTTACAGATCTTCAACAAAGAATTCCCATCTCTCCCACTAAACTACAGTTCCCATAACCTGTGCAAAACATACCCAGTTGAAGGGACACAATTTATTCTTGATAAATCACCCGGGAATGCTGTGATTCTAATGATTCTGTAAAGCATGGATACTTTTAATCTGCAAGTTTAACTCCATCTCCCTGAAAAAAGTCTGGCAGGCTCAATTGCTGGTCATTTGGTGAGGATGGAAACATTCTGTTTGGGAAGACTGGGGATGAACTAGCCCTGGACTGCTGCTGACCCAGCTGCCATTCTGCTCTGAGTTTTAATGTGGGTGGATTGCTGATCATTTTATTCATTTAATTATTAGATTTTTATCCTGTCCCATTACCCATAAGCCTCCCTGGGTGGGTTACAAATAGGAATATACAATAAGATAAAATAGCAATAAAATATAAAACATTAAGGATGATAAGGATTTTGTACACTATTAGCATTCTTAGCAACTGCTCTTTATATGCTGCTTGCGAAGTCCTTTGTGAACTGAATATGTGATAATAAGTGCATCAAATAACTGATTATCTTATGGCTATTCCATTTGATCTGTTAGTGTGATTGTTATAATAGGGTGTTGTGTTGTGTTTTTGTAAATAGGATATCTTATGAAAAAGCTATGTACCATGAATACATAGTATACCTCAGGTAAGTAAACTTCTGAGTAAACATACATTGTTTGCCCAGCAAGAGCTCTTCTAATAATTAACTTTTGTGGATTGCTGAGCACATCTGGGAATTTGAGAAATTGTGAGCACCATCACAAATGGCTCCTGTCGAGACTGTGGCTGGTTACACTGGCTGCTGTGGGGATTGGCTAGTCAAGACTAAGCTAAAGAGTGGGAAAAAATGAAAAAGCAAGGGAGGAGACTGGGATGGTGAGGGAAACAGGAAGACTAAGGGGTAGAAGGGCGGAAAAGAGCAAGACTAGAGGCTAAAAGTGGAGAGAAAGGTGACTAATGTCAAATGTTTTTATTGCACTTTTTTTGGAGGGGTAGGAAGTGGAGATCTTTGTTGGTGCCACTGGAGGTGACTGCAAGTGCCATGATGAGAACCTTTATGTAGAGGAGAAGGAATGGAGAGGTCTACTTTGGAGATAGAACAATGCAAATCCGGTGAAGGGTGCAGCTTATGTGTGTCATAGCACACAATAGTGGATTCAAGAGTTGAACATGTGATGTGGCCGTGCTGTCCTTGGGCACGTGGAGACCCACTTGAGGGTGTGTGTGTCTTACTTCATTAGACATATATCTCAAAGTATCTACCTTACCTCGAAGGGTGGCCGGAGAGGAATGGGCTGGATCGTGTAAATCCCATTATCTTGGATGCCCTGTTTGTGGATCTCAGCGCAGTCCCGAGGATACACGTGCACCGAATTTTTAGAGGGTTCCACTGGAAGCAGACAGCAGAAAGGGTGGCAGTAAATAAAAGGTGTCTGGCAGCAGGAACACCCGATCTTGGAATCCTTCTGTGATACAGGCATTTTAGGAACATAGCAAAGGGGACCTACTAACTTTATTATGATGCGAATGAGGCAAAGAAGCCTCCCAGTGACAGGAAAGATAAGTATAGGATGCACTGCAAGACCAGCCCTGTTCAGCCAAATCCTGAGCAGCACAGTGCTTGGCGACCAGCTCTCACGGCACCCGCTGCTTGTGTCGTCTGCTACAACTCCAGTATTGCAGCCTTTCCCAGCCTGGCGCCTGTCAGATGTGCTGGAGGACAGCTCCCATTATCCCCAGTGACCTGGCTGGTTAAGGACGCTGGGAGTTGTCATGCAACACTGACAGCCACTATGGGTGTGGTGGTTAAGGGCATGGGACTGGGACTCAGGCGATCTGCGTTCTAGTCCCTGCTCTGCCATGAAGCCGAGTGGGTGACTCTGGGCCAGTCACAGACACTCTGCCAAACCTACCTCACAGGGCTGTCGTTGTGGGGATAAGACTGAGAGCAGGAGAGGTGAATGATGTAAACTGCTTTTGAGTTTTTTGTAAGAAAAAAGGCAAGATATTAAGTCTAATTAATAATAACAACAACATACCTGGAAGGCACCAGGTTTGAGTAGGCTGTACTGTTGGAGCCAATGATAAAGGATGGTCTAATTTAAGAGATCAGCATCATATGGATCAGGCTGAGTGTCGCATGTTTGAATTGTTTCAATCTTGCATCCAATATGTGGTTGAAAGTTGGAGTGGGGGGACTGGACTCAGCAAGACCAAGCGCACGTGGCATCATTTCTTTTGTGTGACTCTCTTTACCCCCAAAAGCAGCATGCCTGTTAATAATGGTGCTGTAACAACATCATCCCCAGGAAGGTGAGACGACACAGTTTTATACTTACCTGAAGGTTCTGGCATCTTCTCAATCTTGTGCTCTTTCCCTAAATCTGGAAAAGGATTTGCAGTCAGTGAGTTACAGGAAATCACATCTTGCCACGAAGCATCATCCATTATTCTCAGTCAGTTTGGACTGTTATTATAGTCTGGCCTTCCCAACCTTGGGGGAGTATGGGAATTATAGTCCAACACATCTAGAGGGCATCAGAAGCATACAGTTTCTTAAATGCAATTTTAATGCTTGCACAGCTTTGCTGAATGTTCGGAGCACAATATCCTACATATTTAGACAGCAGGATCTAATTAGTGCACTTCACCACTTGGAATGCTGCGAAAGTGAGTATGGATTCATGTGGCCCTGTTGCCACTTTTCGCCTCCCTCCCTCCCTCCCTCCCTCCCTCCCTTGCAGAGGTCCTTGCATGAGAGGCAGATATTCAGTAAGAGCAGCTTCCCCTGCAGAGAGAGGAGGAGGTGCCCCTGCTGTATGTTGGGAATGAGGAGGCGGGTGCCTGGACTCCAAGACAGGGAAGGTAGGGCAAATGTGGAGGGAGCTTGGGAATGTGGGGCTCCATACTTGGCGATAAAAGAAATGGAGGTGCTTATCTCAAGGCGGCTCTGCCCTGTGCTCAGGCGGGTTCTGAGAATGGCCAAGAGGCAGGGGTGTCGGGTGGGAGCAGGGGAAGAAGCTCTCCGAGTCAGAGGAACCTGGTGCAATGTTTGAGCCCGTGACACAGCATCAGGAGAGGAGGGCCAGGCAGCTAGAAGGCAGCCATATGGAGAAGAGGTGGGCTTGCTTCCAAACAGGCCCTTCCAAAGGATCGAGCCCAGATATACTCAAAAGAAGGGTTCTGGAAGAAGTGTTTGGACTGGGTTCAATGAACTGCTCTGTGCATGCTCAGAGATCCATTCTCTGGTGATCACGTTTATAGCATATCCTTCGGTGACTAAAGAGCTTTTTTGCCAAGAAATGGTCTGTTCCCTTCAAAATGCGAAGAGAGGAAACTGTGATAACGAACGCTTGCTTGTAACACTGCTTGTAAAGACAGAGTTTTAAAGGCAACATTTAAAAGGCCTTAAGTTATCATACAGGAAGAAGCAAACAACAGGATACAGCCTAAGATTATGTAAAGTGTTACTTGGAATTACAGATGAACAAAGAAGTATTCAAATTTGCAGAAGAAACCAAAGTTTCAGAATGACAAAACAAACCAGGAAGCTTAGGCAGTTGTCCTTAACTTTATGAGGAACCAATTAGACAAGACAGCAACAGACTTGTACTTGGAATATGAGAATTACCAAACGAATATAATTCGGGTGAGATGTGTGCAATTTCAAAGGGCAAAGGGATCATATGGATGAGGAGTTGGGAACCCTCCTTCACAGTCCCCCTACTCCCAGGTGCAGCTTTCCTAGCTAGGCTTGCTCTGGGTTTCAGTCCAGCTGAGAGAAGTGGTGTCCAGCCACAGGCAGGAGAACCTTCAATGATACATTTCTTTAGTCCTTAAAATCACCCAACAGGGCTGATTTGCGTTTAAACAGATGGGTCTGCTGCCACTGCATATCTTCTGGCCCTTATAAATCATGCCTGCATATAAAGGGCTTGGGTGTCAAAATATATGTGCAGCTCAACCATGAGGGTTAGAAACTGTGCCATTGAATAAAAAATGAAAACATTAATGCTCAAGGTAGCATTCACTAGGCATGAGATTGAGAATCACGGCATATAGTTGTCTTGTATCCAGTTATCCTGGAACAGGGAAAAAACGGCAGGAGGAAGGAAGCTACTTCGGGTAAGCAGAATGCAGTTTCCTGTCAAGAGTCCCAGCACAATGTATTTAGTACAATCTCTCACCCTGACACTCCATTACAGGATCTTCTTTCGTTTCCAGTGTTTTGAGGTGTCTACTTTCTGAAAAGAAAGCTTGCTTGAATAAGGGTTAGATATGCTGGCCAAAGCTTTCCACTCCTGAGGCCATGGTAACTGCGTTTAGACCAGAAGGTTTACTAAAATCTGGCTCTACTCCAGTCACAGAAAATATGGCTGAGAGAGATTTTAAAAATGGAACTTTTCCAGGTTCAGGTCTTAGGCCATGCGGCAGCTTAGAATAAGATGTTAGAATGAACTATAGCATGTTGGCCTGTTTGGAAGAATGTCACTTTGGGCCCTAGTGCTGCTGCTGCATTTCTATCCCTCCTATTTTCCTTTTGTGAGGAGCCCAAGGCAACTTCCAGTGCTCTATTCTGTCCTCACGCAACAACCCTGTGACATGGGTTGCGTTGAGAGTTTGTGACTGGTCCAAAGTCACACAGTGAGCTTCATGGTCAAGGGGAGCCCAGGATCAGTCCACCCCTCTGATCACCGCACCACGCTGGCTCTCCTACATGCATGCCCTGCCAGGCATTCAGAAAAACAACCCTTCCTGCAAACAGAAAAAGAGCGCATCAGGGAGGAAGGCTGCAGCCTGGGCCTTCTGCCAGCTGTGAAGGGAATTCTTCATATGGGGGAACACTGCAAAAAGCTTCTTGAACCCGAAGAGGCGCAATCCATTCTAGCACCTGTCAGAATCCTGGAATTTCAATTTGTGAGGAGGAAATAAAACTCGGGTTCGTGGGAAAGATCAAGCATTAAGACCATCTGCTGCTTTATTGTTTGGCCCAGGTTCCCCGCGGGTCCATACTCACGATAATGCATTACCGGGCAGGCAGAGGTGGACTCGACTGCGAGGTTTCAATTCAACTACAGGGTTTTTATACCCTCCCAGGTACAGGACAATTGATGACAGAATGCAGACATTACAATAAAATTCTGAGGTCATCATATACAGAAAAGATAAAGGAAGATCAGCAAATCATACAAGTAACAATAAGATTACACTATTTCTAATGGCAGTGTATTGACACTTCAGTTGAGTAACTTCCAGAGACTTGAACCCATTTCCAGGTCTGCTTAGACATGTAAATTCAGGCTACTGAGAAACTTCATGAACTCATAAGCTCATCTAGACTCAGACCCTGAGTAATGCATCCGCACCATTCTGAATGGCCAGGGCACGTGGAACGCACAGGGCTAGCAAAACAGATACTTCCTACAAGGATTATTTAGCTTCATTGTGAATGTATATAATGTATATTTGACTGAATGGCCTGTCTGCTCTGGTTTACAGCAAGAAGAACTAGAGCCATTTTCTTAAAGGTACAGTAATATTAAATAGTGACTAGACTTGGAAAGCCAATGCTTTTGAGAAGGAGTTCAGGTTTAATTTTATAACACAGAAGCACACAGAAGCAACGTTTTCTGCAAGGATTTATCCAAATTTTTCCAACACACCTCAGCATGCCACCACCTCATTCGGCTGCCTTTCCAAGGGCGAATGCCTTTCTCCTAGCTGCCTTTGCTTCTAGTAGGCGAGAGCAGCTGAGGGAAAAGCAAAGCTTGCAGGGGTGGGAGATGGGGACAGGCTATGGGGAGGCAAGCCATGGGCAGGGGAAAAACTGAGACACTGCCACCTTTGTTCTTCAAATCGGACACACATCACATGCTCCACACGGTACAGGAATAGGTACATGTCCAGGTCTGACAGATGAATGTCTCTCCTAAGGCCTAGTCACTGATAGGAAGCTAAAATATGCTAGTATTTTTTTTGCTATTTTGGCCTCTGCTGCTTTTGTCCCACTTACGTTGTCACATTTCCATGAGGTCCTTGTTCCTGCCACCAAAAGAGCCAGGAGTTGTAGGCAGTCTGGCTTTCCTCATGTGAGATGCCCCATGGCCAAGGGATTGAGACCTCTGCTGCTCCCTAGCCCTGCTGGTGCCCTTGGGGCTCTGCTTCAGCCAGAAAAATGCTTCCTGCTGAGAGGAGCATCTTTCAGCACCTTCACTCAAGGTAGTTTGCAGAGGTTTTGCACAATGCCATCCTCCTCCAGAGCCTTTCCAGTTCTTCGTAACTATTTCTGAAGCTTTTTATACAGTTCAGCATGTCCATTATCACCCAGAAACTGCACTATGAAAAGCTTGTCACAATTCTGCTGTGACAATTTGTGGTTGTGTGATGCAACACATGGAAAAGTAGAAAAAGAGACACCCTGCCTCATGGGTGGGGGAAACAGGTAAAAGAAGCTGATCTTAATTCCTCAAAGCATTTGCAAGCCAAAGCCTCACTTAGAGAAGTCCTTATTCTCTTTGTTGTGATAGTTTAATCGAAAGGGAGGATGTGGAGTGGGGGTGGGAAGTATCTGAAAGCCCATCTGAGGAAACGCTGGCTGAGCAGTGGTGGGAGATGTGTTCAACAGAGATAATGGTGTGCTTTACAGCACGAGGCAGCCTGATAGCTATAAGCATCAGCAGCAAACCCCTCTAACAGTCCTGCTGTCCAGCTGTCTGAAATTCCTGCCAGGACGACAAGGTGCAGACCTTGTCCAGCAGCAGAAGCCTAGCTAGGAAGGGAAGTTTTAGAAAGGTAGAAATGGATTTATTTTTGTAGAATGTCAGGCACTGAATGAAGAAAGAATTGCATGTTCCCGTGGAACCCAGGATGTGCAAGTTTCCGGCAGGAGCCATCGAAAGGTGTTGAATAGCTATTCTGGCTTTTCGGCCTTAATGGATTTTTGTTTTCCCGGAAAGAAAGAGGATGGAAGAGGTGGGAAAACATGGGAAAGTCACAAGCTAAAGGCACTGGTGTCTGGCCCTCCCATACAATCCTGCAAGTGTGGTAAAAGCCTCAGCGAGAAGCCCCCAAGAGAGAAGGGTTTAACAGTGATTTTCCTTCAGCATTTGCATAGCTGAGGAGCTCATGTGGAATCCTGTCCGCAGTTTATTCTGCCCAGAAGTTTGGCTGACTATGTTATATCCAGAGTGTTCAGCCTCTTCCCTCCCGCAGGCCAAATGCAATTTTAGAGAAGCTTTCAGGAATTGGTGCACTGCCATTTTGGGCGGCACCAAAGGGATGGGGCCAAACACCAGCATGTTTTGGCTTAAAGTTGTAACTGCTGGAAGTGAAGCCTCTGGGGAAGCATTTCAGCTTTTTTACAATGGGAAAAATGTGTAAAGGTGGGAAAATGGACTGATGATGATGACCAGACAGGGGCAAATGTGTGGGGCCTGGGGAAGGGGGTGTGACTCTCTGGTGGCCCCCTTTGACTGCGGTCCCCTGATGTGAGGAAAGCACCTCTTCCCCCAGTTCTGTCAGCAAACTCTCCCGTTGGTGCCTTATGCCATCCTTCACATGGATCACAGCTGTCTTCTACTGTGGAGGCCTTGTGCCTGTCAAACACTCACATCTATCCAGCCCGAATCATTCAGCCCTTGCACTGCCCTGGCCACAGGATGGCCCTCCTTAAATCCTTACCCTGGCGTCCTGCTCACTCTCCACTGCAGCACGAGCCGGAGAGAGTTCCCGTATACTCACTCACCGAGAATGGATGTCTGCAGGACCGACTCACTGCAAGGCAGCTTGCAGCCAGACAAGATCCCCAGCAGCAGGGCCACCAAGGCATGGATGTGCTCCTCCAGGCGGCTCCCGTGAAGCCTGCTCTCCTCCTGCAATTTCTGCAGGCTAGATGCCAAGGAAGCGATTTTGGTTTCCGCCAAGCCGAGCCGGTCTATCAGGGCCCTCATTCCAGAAGAGCTTTGCTTGCTGAGGTCTCCTGGGTGCTTGAGGGTTTGCTTGAACTCCATCTGCTGCTCCCTGGGCGGACTGTCTTGCACCTCTTCCAGCATCACCGGCCCTTCAGGCACGAGAACGCGGAGTTTGCAGCTGCCCAACCCATCGCAGCCGTTTTCTGGTGAAGGAAGAGGCATGGCCACTAGAGATGCCGGGCAAGCGGGGCCATCTTTTTGGTGACATTCAGGGCTGTCTGCATCCAGGCTCCCTGATTCTTGCAGTGGAACGATCATGAAGAAGCTGAGGCAGAAACACTTGCTGAAGGGGAATAAGAGTTCCATTTTGTTGTTGTTGCTGCTGCTGCCTCCAGAAAGGCCCCCAACTTGCATGAAGGAGATGAAGCTGTGAGCGCAACAGGGCTTCTTCTGTCTGCACAAATGAGCGTCTATAGGCCAGGATTTCCGCTCTCGGGATGGGCTGGAGCAAACTGCTCACAGAAATTGGGGAGCTGTGTGAAAAGAGGAGGAGGGAAAGGAGGGAGACACAAACACAGATAAAGGAGTGTTTGAGACGGTCCAGCAAATTGGCCTGTCACGAGCAGTTAAAGTTCGGCCTTTGTGGGTGTTGGTGATTAGTGTCTTCCTTGTGAGTGCTCCACGCACAACCGAGAGGGCTTGGCTTGAAAGGCCTGTAATTTGCCTTGACATTAAAGGCACAAGGAAACTGCCTGAAAGCGAAGCATGAAAAGCCTCATGAAACAAGCTCCAGTGACTGCTGGCCCTTGGCATGGCACAGCCATCCACATGGCGCATGGAGCGAGGCGCGTGCCCCCAGTCCTCTCCACATGCCTCACAGGCACAGTAGATCACAGCGCTTCCAGTGCCGAGCTGACAGGATCCCTCCCTACGTCTCCTTGTTATTTCTGCGCCTGGGCCAGTTCTCAGTCTATCCTTTGGGAATATCCTTATGCCCACCTGCACCTTTGGAAATCCGGTCCTGGCTCCAAGAGCTTCCTTCCCCATTTGGATGGATCAGAAGCAAAGGCTCAAGGAGAAGGTGGGCGCTCAGTGGATGAGAAGGCAGGACCCTTGGGAATGAATGGTGGGCACCTCCTGCTCCCTGGATGACCCAGAATGCGAGCAGGAGATCAGTCGCCAAGACCGATGTGGCATTAAGGGATGGCAGGTGACGTGCCACGTGTCTCCCCCAGACTCCTTGATCCGCTGCCCCTGGGAGCGCTGGTGGGCTCCAGGCTGCTCTCGGCTAAACGCTCACCAGCACTGCGGGAAAACAATGCCCATGCTGGCTCTGGAACTCTAGTCCTCCGATCCAGCACTCCTGTGGCCTTCGCTCTGCACTGCCTCCTGTGGACGGAGCTGGATTGTTTTTGAGCACACTGTGCCGAACCCTGGGTGGATATTGGATTTGTTATTCCTGCTGGCTTTGCCCCTGGATTGCCTCCCCTTTCTTCTTCCTCTTTCCTGAGAAGCCCAGGATGGCAACGAGGTAGCCTTGGAATATCTGTCTTGCTACAAACTTCTGCATTAGCAATTTGGCTGGCCAAGATCGCAGCGGGACAGCCTCCTGGGGATTCAGGCTCGGCATCCATAGGATACAAGGGCCCGGACCCCAGCAGCCTCCCCGCCCCCCGCCGCCCCCGGCATGAGACTGGCTGCTTCTTGCTCTGGCCCAGGCAGTGCTGGTGGTGAGAAGATGGGCAGGAGAGGTCGCTGCATGGGGATCGCTGGCTTTCTCCCCATCAGGCATGTGATGGGGAGCTATGAGGAGCGAGAGGAGAGGAGCGGCAGCAGCTGGTCATACTGGCGCTGGGAAGGCGGTCGCTGTGAGGCAGGGGAACCACTGCGCTCATTGTGTGAGGGGACCCACTGCCTGCAGCCAGCACTGCCCGTCCAGCCGGCTGCCCTCACCCTGCAGATTGCCCTCTGCACAGACTGAGCATAAGAGGTGGAGGCACCAGAGGAACGAGTGAAGCCTCCAGATTTCTGCAGGCGCAGCAACCGTGCCGCCCCTGCCCATCGGGGCCAGTCTGTGGGTGCTTCCGGGCAAGGCGGGACTGCAGTCGTGCCTGCCTCACCCCCAGAACAGTATACTCAGACCAGGTTGCCACGCATTCCCCTTGCAAACCTCTTGCATTTTCCCCCGGCCTGGCCCATCTTTTCCTGAACAGGAAAGGAGCGGTGGAAACAGAGGGAAGGGGAGGCAGGGGAAAGCGAGGAAGCAAGGGGTGGTTGTTTCCACTTTCTTGGGCTGAGTTACAGGGCTCTTCTGGGGCATTTTGCTGCCTGAGACAAAGGAGGGCCCTGCTGCCAACTGTTCAGCCATTGCTTCTGTGGCTCATGAAATGCCCGGACGTAGCGGTGGCTATTTCAGTCTGTCCGGAATCACCATCCCGAGCCTGCAGATCTCATGCCTACAACAACTGACCTAATGTTTGTCTTTTTTTGCCCCTCCCCCTCCCCACCCCCCTCCCCATCTCCTGTTTTTTATGCTACCTAGCATGATGAAGAGTTCCGGTGCCCCCAAAACTTGCACACAATTCCTGTGACAGTTTGGCTGCTCCCACTAAAGGCATTTCTCCATTATGGTTTTTGGAGGGGTTATTTCCAATGGACCAGCAGAGCTTTCTTGGCTTTATAGTAAAAAACAGTAGTTTTGCACCATCTAGAGGCCAGAACATCATGCCATTCACTTAGTTTATCCTTGAAAATTGAATGGGGTTCCCTTGGGCAGAACGTCCCGAGTAAGAAGGAAAGATAGCTGCTCCTCGGTTTTCATTTTTTGCAGCTCTTCTTTACTGTGTGGCTTTTAGCATCGCTGGCACGGATGAAGCATGAAATGGGGGAGACCACAAGTGAGGAAAAGAGTATAGTTGGAAAGCTCCTGAGCATCTTTAGAAGTGCTGGAAATACTTGGCCTTGCAACTAGAAGTTATGCCCCCTGGACAAAACTAGGCAAAGGACACAAGAGAAGGTGTTCGAAGGCAACTGCCAGGGCGGCCTGTGGCCTAAGGTCATTTATAATGCCCTTGTGAGTATTTTGTGGAGGAGACAGGAATCCATGCCCTGTCAGGCTCAATCAAAACCCCCGCAGCTTCATTTACCAGGTGATTGAAGTGTCAAGAAAAGGAATTTTAGGATTTCAGTTTCAATGCCTTCCTAAAATGAAGAAATGGGAGAGAAATTAATCTGGTTCACAACTTCTTCTCACGTGCATTTCTCACAGCTGATGTTCAAACCTAGCCAGTTGTTCTTGGATGCTCGCACTTCTTGAATGTTACAGTACAGTCCTCTTAGGGAAAAAACAAACGCTGGTATGGGGCAAAACTGCACATCAAAAGCAATATTAGAGGAAATGCACATGGAAAAGTGTGCATGGGAACAAATTTAAGATGGGAGAAAATGGGAGAGGCAAATAAAGCAAAACAGACAGGTTTGTACTAAAATTCAAACCTAAAGATTGGTCCTCAACTCTCTGTTTCATTTCTCACCTCTTCATGCCTTTATATTCCTTGTCATCTAGATTGAGTTGAGCATGGCTTTTGCTTTAGCACTTTCAGAGCTGGACTTTGGTTTCCTCTAAGCTTTGCACTTTTGCTTTCCAGTCCAGAGAAAAAAGGTAGCTTGTTCTGTGTAACACAATTGTAAATCCTCGGCTCCTGCAAACTCAGGCCCAGTTTGATGTTTTGCAAAGTCCCACCTGCTGAAGTGGGAGAAATGTGAAAGGAGCTCCGTGTTGCCAAATGATTCCTCCTCCTTCTGAAGAAGGTAGAAACAAATGCCACCGGGGTGTTTTGTTTTGCATCTGATGCCAAAGGAGTCCTTGGTGGTTCGGCAGTATCTTGTCAGTGTCTGTGTTGCTTCTTTGACCAGTCTCAGCTGCAGTGTTTTCGCTTCATTGGCACACATCAGGCTTCCCAACCTGTTGCCGTTCAGATGTTTTGGAGAACTCCCAGCATCCCTGGCCATTGGGCCATTGTGCTGGCACCTCTGTTGTGGAATGAGCTTCCCAAGGAGGCTCACCTGGCACCTTCTAGCTCCAGGTGAAGACCTTCCTAGTTTCCTAGGAATTTTAGTCTTTCAATCTGTTGTTTTCAATCCTTTACTATATTTCAAATCCTTGCATTGTCGTTAGGTTTTACCTTGACTTTTTCTTCTATTTTATACTTCAGTTTAAAACTTTTGTGGTGAATTTTATGTTACATTTTATGGTTTTAATTGTGAGACCTTCAGCTATTGAGCAGTATAAAATGTAACAGAGGTGTTGATGGAAGTTGCAGGAGGCTGTTGTACACTGAAACAAAAGAAATGAAAGAACAAACTAATTCATGCTCTGGTCCCTTTCCCCCTCTGCAGGTGTGAACACAGATCTCCAAGGTAGAGGAGGCACTGCAGTTAAGGACCAGGCCCTCAGATGACTGAGAAAGAGGTGGATAATGAAAGTATTGAGACTGTACGGTTATGCCAGACTGGTTGTCTAGTTTGCTCAAGTCTGCGCAGTATTATTATAATTATTATAATTCGTGCAGTATTATCCCTGGAGAAGAAACATTAGGATACCTTCCTTTTCAATCTAGCTTTTCTCGACCCCATGCCTTTTGCAGCTTCCAAAGTCGCTGGCCTGCAGTCACGATCCATCCCAATTGGAGGATACCCTGTTGATGAAGGCTGGTTTCGTGGAAGCAGTTACAGCAGTAAAACAGCTGGTGTTGGATATAGTCCATCAGCCACCGAAGAACAGCAGGCTCTGTTAAGAAAGGAAGAGCTATGCAGCTCATCCCATGAAAATGCCAAATGTTGCCTTTTCAGTTCTGGATTCTGCACTGGACTTTCATTAAACTAGAACTATGAATGTCAGGCTATACCAGAAGCCCCACTGAATGGCGGCAGCTAAAGAAGTAGGAAGCCAAATGGCACCTTCTTTGGTCATTCAAGCAACACTGCCTGCTTCAGCCATCACACTGAGGATTTAAAAATATTATTTTCCTGCTGTACAGTGCTGAAGTGCTGGGTCCTGCATCATTTTCCGAAAATGTGAGAGTCGGAAGGTGCAGCAGCTCCCGCTTAACCACTAGGGGGACACACAAATGATCCAACATGGTCTCACGCCATGTTGGCAAAATTTCCAGCCCTTTCTGAGCCTGGCTGATCAGATTTCCACCCAATGTCACCCATTAACATAAAGCCGCTTGGGGGGACTCGTTGCTTTTTTTCTGCACATGCAAGAGAAAAACAAGAGTGAATAATAGTCAGTGACAAGGCAGGGCATCTCTTCTCTCTCTCTCTCTCCACCCTCCCATCCAATTTGTCTTCGAGGCTGACATCGGAGAAAACCCCAAATTGCCGCTCGTGCCCTGCACAGTTTCACCACA